GGCTGGTAAATCCGGTTCGAATGAGCGTACAGTGACAACGCTGCGAGAAGATGGAGAGAGGATAGAGGGAAATAATCCAAATGAACCAGTAGCACGCACGTCACGCGTGTGTATACCGGATGATGCAGATTGTGTAGTGCATTAAAGACTAGGTGCCGCATCATAGTAGGAACTACGGGGCGAAGGCAGGTTTGTCCTATGTCAGCAGAATAAATTAATAAATTCTCGAAACGTCCGAGGCACACCCCTCAAGGCTTGTTTGTAGGATTACAGGCATTACTGAACTGCCAGGCATCATACATCAATAATTATTAAAAGTTTTAAACTGTTGTATCCGTAAACATATGTTTGAAAGCAAATATTCCGCATAGCCGCGATGGTAGGCAACAGCGTATATGAGTGTGTATCAACGTTTGTAAATGGGATATGTTAGTTTTAATACAGACTGTTTCAGTGGCAAAGGTGCACTGCAGAGCAGAACGAGAAGGTTTAGGCAATCGAGAGAATGGCGCAGCAACTTCATTCCTTTGATTAGTCGTGAATGTTTATACAACAAGTTAACGGACAGTTGCGCTCCGTAATCGCAGTGCAGTGCTAATTTGGCTGCTATTCAGCCGCATGTTATCGTGTTTCGAGGGATTAAGACTTGACATAACCTGCGAGCCAGGTGGAAGTTACAAGTAGGATCTTGGTGGCTAAATTTGTCCTACTCAAGAGAATAGGTGACTCGTCGGACTTCGTCGGGATCCTTTAGCGAGTAGCCTGTACCGGAAGTCCGGAGTGAGGTGCGGAAAGGTAGATTGGGTTGCAACACACCTTTTATTGGCAAAGTAAAAGATTCCCTGTTACCTAGTTATAAAACAGCGGCACCGTTGACGCTCTAACTAGGGGAAAGGAGGATGCATAACATACACGGTAGTCGCACGTTGCAACCGAAATTAGCGCCAAGCAAAAAGGGCGATGCGCTAGTCAAGTATTCGAACTCAGCAATCAGTTGAACAAACCACACCGGTCGCCTAGGTGTACACTAAGTAATTTTAGTTAGAATTTTCCACAGGCGCACCGGGGAATCTCCAGACTGCTACATAGCTCTCCCGCCGAAGGTACTGTGTAAGCAGTTCTTCGATCTATGTGAGGACAATCCGTCGCGGACCAACCTACTGCGAGACATGGTTGTGAAACCTGATGCAGCTGCTGGGGGAGAACCATGCAATCAGACTCTAGCGGGCTCCCACCCGTGTCCTCCCCACGGTGTCTAAACGGTAAACACTGTTTGTGAGGGACCATTAGTAAAGTTCACGTAGGCGGTTCAGCAGAAAGTTCGTTCCACTTCCAGTTGAGATGCGGAGATCCAGCGATAAATGAAACCAAGGCGCAACCAACCGACGAGGTATATGGAAAGCAAAATGAAAAAGCAGCTTATATGCATAGGAATACACAAAAATGTGCAAAGTGAAAAAAGGTGCAAAGCTCTTTTTGGTCTTCAAAAAATTTTGCTGTTTTTTGTTTGTTTCAAAACGTTCTGGTCTATTTATGTGGATTTTGGAAGGCGTTTGTGAACAGAAAATTTCAGAGGCACTTTCTATGTAAAATAGCAATGCTAATAATGTCTGAAAAAGGTACTGGAGGTTTCAGCTTCCTACCGCGTCGATTGAAAGTAGGGCGAGTCTGAGTATTGTCGGTTGAGGTTGTAAGTTCCGCTGGAGCGAACTGACTGGTCTGAGGTTGCGGTGCTAGCTGTGATGGCGCAGGCTGTGAAGGTGATTGTTGTGCCGAAGAGTCAGACTTGTCGAGGAATGCTGGCTTGAGCCGATCGTTGTTGATCGTCTCAGTCTTACCATGGTGGTCAACGGTCACGTCTTGTCACTCCTGCGTACGACAGCGTACGGGCCAGAATAACCAGGTTGGAGTGGCCGGCGTATGCTGTCATCGTGAACGAACACGTGAGTGCAAGTAGCAAGCCGTTCGTCCACGTTTGTACACAAGTTCTGTGCTCTGGGTTGCACAGGCTGAAGCTGTCGCATGTGATGAGATAGGCGAGCTGCGTAGTCGGCACAGCCGAAAGTTGCTGGCGCTTTTGGTGAGACGAGTTCACCAGGTATGTGTAGTGTGCATCCAAAGACTAGCGAAGAAGGAAGGGCGTGCAAATTCGCTTTAATCGTGTTTCTTATGCCTAAGAGAACTAGCGGAAGTGCTTCGTGCCAGCATGTGCTAGATTAGGCACAGAGTAATGCTTCGTGTTGCCGGTGGTACGTTTCTATCATCCCATTAGCTGCGGGGTGGTATGCGGTGGTTCGGTTGTGCTGGAAACCAAGAACGTTGAGAAGTTTGCTGAAGGATCCGTCAAGTGTGATTTTCTGTAGGTGATGATTACGCTTGGGCAACCAAATTGAGCTACCCAGCGTTCTAGTAAGGTTTGTGCAACTATCGCAGATGAGCAGTTGGCTATCGGAATCGCTTCTGGCCAACGGGTGAATCGGTCGACACAGGTGAGGAAGTACACGTAGCCTTTTCATGGGGGCAAAGGTCCGACCAGGTCGACATGGACGTGTGCAAAACGAGAGTCGGGAAGCGAGAAAGACTCCAAGTTGGCATTTGGTGTATCTGTATACCTTGGCGCGCTGACACTCTAAGCATGCTCGTGCCCAAAGGCGGATA